CTCCGCCCCCGCCTGTAACGGGGCTCCCTGGTGCGAGCTGGGCACGGGGATGCTGTGGCTCCCGCGCGACGGCCCGGGGGCCGGTTCGCTCATGGCACGTAGCACCCGGGCACGCAGGACTTTTGCCGTGCCGTGTCCTTAGCTCTCTGTGTTGTCTGGGCTGGAAAAGCTGGTCTCCTCAGTACTTCTGCTGATGTGTCTGCTCAGTGCTTTGGACCAAATTTATCCAGTTACCTTTATGGGGATGAAATTGGCCTGTTTCCTCCACTGTAGCTCGCTCTTGTAATACAAGATTCAGCCAGACCCGCTTGCTTGATGTCCTTGCTCTTCCAGAAGGAAGCGAGGACTCATTTTCCTGATAGCCCCTAAGATTTTAGCCCTTTGGCGTCCCAGCAAGCCTGATAGAGGCTGGCTGCAGAAGCAATTTGCAACCGAGGTAGTTCTTTACATGTTTTGGAAAGCTGCTGCTGCACAGGGCGACCTTGCATGCGTTTTGTGCCTCCGTCGTTATTTCTTTATAAAGTGAGAAGCCTAAGGTCCCTGGCATTGCCTGGCAGAAGTGTGTCCTTTTCAGCAAATGCATAATTTCCCTGAAAAGGCAAACCTGGAGGACGCATAGCAGGAGATTTCAGAAGTGTGAAGGGAGAGTGAGGTGGCCTTGCTTGTTTTTAGCAGTAGAACATGTATCTCCCCTTTCGTGCTGCTCGCTCTTCCCCAAACAGTCCGGATACAGAGCCAGGGAGACACACCACCACATTGCTGCATTCACAAAAAGAAAAAGCACTGCAACTTCAATATTGACATCTTTTTTCTAGGAGACCAGCTCTTTACACTGCCTGACTAATGGTATATTAACAGATCTGTTTTCTTTTAATTAATTCTTTTTATATCTGTGGCCATTGTATCATGTTAAACTCTGGCAGACTCCATGGTCAGGAGCCTAGGAAAACTTTATTGGTACTTTTAAAATGTGAGTCAAGGTTAGGACCACTTCTTGGCAGACTGCAAGTGTAACAGTGACTATAGGTAACAAGATTATTCTCAGGTATATTTTCAGTTTTGCACTGCATACATTTGGGCACCAAAAATATTACATGCCTGAATGGTGAAGTGCTTTTAACAAGAAGTAATGAAAGCAGAGGATTTAAATGAAACTTGGAAGACTTGTCCAACCAACTTGCCTGTTACCTGACTTGAAATGAAAATGAGCAGAACTTTTTTAAGCAATGTGAACTTCTCATTTCCATAACCAAATAAGCTCATATATGAGGTGTGACAAACAGTGCATAGAAAATTCAAGTATTCCATAAGCAGAGAGTTGTCTGAAATCTTCACCCATAAAAGGTGTGTATAATATCTGGGATACTGAGAGATAGCACACCTTTGCTGTCCTTGCTCCCTGTGAGGGGTTTTAACGGTAGTTTATGTTGCTGTGACTCTGTGAAAGCTGCATCGAGCCTATCCAGGCATACGTGCTGCTTCAGCCTTGCTTTGAGGGCTCTTGTTCAGGCCTGAACCTCACCCAGAATGAAAGGTTATGCCTACCTTTTGTTCTGAATTGAGCAGGTGCTCTCCCATGCTCACTTGAACCAAGCTGCCAGAATAAGGAGCGTGTGCTGGCATGTTGTGCGTGTACTGAGGAAAGTAGCATACACTCAGGTATAGAAAAGCCTTCACCCAGAATTGCGGTTAATTGAAAAAAACATAAGTGAAGGCATCCCTTACTTTAACGTACTGCAAAGTGCCCTGCAGATTCCAGGCATTCCTAGCTGCTCTGCCACGTGCGTGCCTGGAAACCGGTCCTTGGGGGCAGAAGGCAGGGGCTGGAATAGCAGCTCTCCTTGTTAGGTGCCTGTGCCCTGAGCGAGGCTAGAGGAGATGCCTGCAGGCTCAGGGATGCATGGGGCCCTGCTAGCACGCATGTGAGGTCTCTGAATAAGCTGGCATTGTCCCTGCTGGGGAGCTCAGATGGACTTCCTTGTCCTGTGTCAGACATGGACATGCTCTTTGCCATCTCAAATCTATTCCGACTGATAAATGGAGGTGGCAGGTGTTGGAATTGCACTGCAGGCTTAGTAGCACATGGCGCCGTCTAGAGTTAACAAGGCTTTCCTTTATTGTGCGCTAGTTGTCCTTTTCTGTTATTACATGTTCTGTACTCTGCAAAATCTGCTTAACATGCTCCCCAGAAGCAAAAAATCTGATTTGTTCCTGTCCTTTTCAGGTTTCCAGCTGTTTAACAACCACGCTTCAGCCTAGTTCGGACTCAGTCTGGGACTGAGCGGAGCTTTATCACGGTTGAGCTCCGAGGCATTGATTAGGCCTGATTCATCTCATAACAAGATTAAAACCTCATCTTCCTGCTTCAATCTCTTTTGGTGTCTGAAGGACTGCTTATCCAGCCAAGCTCTGCTGGAAGTCTAGATAAAGAGATGTTGAAACGTGGCTCAGTGTGGTTGCTAAACGGGATGGAAAGCCTGAACAGAGAGCTGTGGTGTCTTGGGTACAGACGGCTTTTGCAAGTTGCCTGTCTCTGGGATGGGTAAGGTTTGGGCCTTCTGCTAAGAGCTACACCTGGAGACAAGGCTCCAGAGAGGAATTTTATAGCTTTGCCATGCTCTGCGTTTTTTCCCCCCCTCATCTCTTCATGCCAGTCCTGTATCAAACATGCTGCTGTTACAGAAATCATGTTTACGGCCAAGGAGTGACCTTGCAATGGAACAGAATTTTAAGATTGTTTTGCAGCCCTGGCCCATGCTCACATTTTCAAAGCCAAGATAAGGTCGGGGATGCGTTGCTCTAGGGAAGAGAGGACCCTTCTCGGATGCTGTAGTGATACCTGGAGAAGGTCGACAACGACATGACTAGATTCAGTCTCAGCGTCATTGCGGTTTTTTTTGTGTTCACAGAAGCAGTTGACCAGCATATGATTTGATAGTGTTATGTTATCGGATTGCATTATTTTGCTTCCCCATGTTTCTGTTTAGTTCATGGAGAAGCAACGAAAGGTACACTTTAGATAGCCTGTGTAATATAGTAAATAAGGCCTCCCAAATTCTTAAGGTAAAAGTGGCTTAGTGTGGAGATGCTGGAAAAACCTTGAAACTATGAGAATGAGTGGGAATCAATGCAAATGGTACAGGGAGAATGTTAATATTTGTTATTTAATTGTAGAAAACTAGGTTTTGCTATTCCTTTTCCTTTCCTTTTTGCTTTATTTGCACTAGTGTTTGAAATCTTTTTCTTTTGGCTGACCTGCTATTTGGCTAGTAAAATGTTCTGTTCCAAAAAACTTTTAACAATTTGGTATGACTATAAATCATAAAGTTAGAGCATTTAGTGATATCAGTGCTCTGACCTCATTTCTGGAAAACATGAAGTACATAGGGACTATGGTTAATTTGTGCCTGGCTTCAAAAACATGAAGTATTGAGTATTTTTGTTGCTTTATAATTGCAAAGTTTCCTCGGGCCTGGGATGGTAAAGCTGAAGCCTGTTGCACAACTATGGTTAATTATCCAGGAGGAGAAACTACAGTGGCTCCAGTGTTATTGCAACATTATTGTTTCTCTTCTTTCCACCCTCCCTGCATCTTCAGGACAGCATAAAGGCCTCAATGATAGCACAGGAGTGTGAGATTAAAACAAATGTGCTCAAAGTTGATCCATATTCCAAACCAATCCATAATGCCCTTTTGCAGGCATTACGTGCACCCCTGCTGTCTCTTGCAGAAGAGGAATTTCTCTCCCCTCCCTCCCCATCCTCAAAGGACCAGACAGTAATGCTAGCAGTGAACAGCCAGACCTCGATGGAGCTTTGCAGCGTTCTTTTAAAGGAACTGTTATCACTTGCACTGTGTGTTTGCATCGCAGTAATCTTGCTTATGGATGAATGCATAGCCCCAGTAGCTACCCCTGGGTCTTGCACAGGCCCTTCTGAGAGTGATTCACTATGAGTGATCCCTGCTTTTGTAGACAGATGAGTGTAGATTTAAGGTAACTTGTATGGAAAGAATGATGTGAGAAATGGGTTTGCTCTTTTATATGAAAACTCCAAAATGGCTCCAGCCATTTCCGTATGTACTGGCTATGTATTTCAAGTGCTCTTACAGACCAGGGTACCTCGCAGCGGGCGATGCTCCACCTAACTCTCGTGGTGTTAATTACCTGCATCCCACCCTTTTGCATGTAGATGCTGGCTGCCAGGAGATGAAACTCCTTTTTTCCCCTGTGTTTTTAAATAAAGAATGAAATCGAAGTAGCTTTTCCAGACAGTCTGTTGGCATTATGTGTTTTGGGTTGCAATTCCTCAGGGGGCTGAACGCTGCCTCTGCCAGGGGAACAGGGCACAGCAGCTGCAGCAGAGCCTCCGTACCCCTGATGCCAAGAAGCAGTGACCGTGCTCTCAAGAAACAGTGAAGAAAGACCATACTGTTTTTCAGGTGGGATCCAGAGGGGCCTGCTTTCAGGGCTGGGTTATGAACAGGCTGGGTTTTTACTGCGCAGCATTGTTTTCACCATCCTCTAGAGTAGCACTGGGTTGCTAATATAGCCCTATGTGATTTTGCCTAACTGTAGCGGGAGTGAATGAAGTACCTGTGTCCTAGGGCTCTGTAGGATAAATCAGGTGATTCTGTCCTGCCCCAAGGGAGGGCAGAAACCCTCTCCCAAAGCTGAGTGACGAGAATGGTCCTGGTAGGCCTTAATGATGGTACGTGGAGCTGCAAAAATAATTTCTGGCATCTTTTGTCTCGTGCTGTG